TTTCTCAAGTTCCACATGAGTGAAAACATATGGGATCTGTCTTTTTCTGACTGACTTATTTCACTTAGCATAATACCCTACAGTTCCATCCATGTTGCTGTAAATGGCAGAATTTCATTCTTTCTCATTGCCAAGTAGTATTCCATTGTACATATAAACCACATCTTCTGTATCCATTCGTCAGTTGATGGACATTTAGGCTCTTTCCATAATTTGGCTATTGTTGAAAGTGCTGCTATAAATATTGGGGTACAAGTGCCCCTCTGCATCAGCACTCCTGTATCCCTTGGGTAAATTCCTAGCAGTGCTATTGCTGGGTCTTAGGGTAGATCTATTTTTAATTTTTTGAAGAACCTCCACACCGTTTTCCAGAGCGGCTGCGGCAGTTTGCATTCAAACCAACAGTGCATGAGCCATCTATTTTTTAAAAAATAAAATGAAAACTCTATACATCTCATACCTCATAAAAGTAAGTTTTTGAAATATTAAAATATTAAATGCAAAAGGTGAAACCATAAAAATGCTAGAAGAAGATATAGGGTAAAAATGTTTTAAATCAGTGCATGGAAAAGGCCTTTCTCAATATAATACTGAGGCCAGAACTGCAGGAAAAGACTGACAAATACACTACAAAACTGCGTAACTGTTAGATGAGGAATAAAAACCCCATCACTATAAACAAGGAAGAAGCTGGGAGAGGGGTGCAGCATATAGGATGGACCCAGGGTCAATATCTATATCACACAAAGACACTTAAAACCAATTTTTAAAAACTATCAAAAACTCAAGAGGAAAGTAGGCAAAGGATACAAAGAGGAAAATGGCAAAACTACGAATGGCCTATGAACATAAGAAAAGATTTCAATCTCACTAATCATTTTATACTGCAAATTACAGGAGATTCTTTTCTCTCATTGATCTGATTAGCATAGACTAAGGAGGCTGGAGATATCTAGCATTCGCAAGGTTATGGGGAACTGCACGATATGGCCTGAGGCAGAAGAAATTGTTATAACCATATGAAAAGTCTACCAACACTGTGAGCCTCCACTGACTTGCCAATTCTACTTCGGGGCGTTTATTCTAAGAAAATAATCCTAAAAATAAAAGTTAATGGATATGTGTACAAAGATGTTTACTGTAGCTTTTAATATATATACATTAGCTTTTAAATATAGTTAATTATTTAAAACTTTTATAATATGGGTATGACCCAATTATTACTTTTTAAGGCTGTATATGTAGCATAAAACATTTTTAGAAATGTATAGAAAATCCTGTTAAGTCATTCAAACAGTTATGAATTAAGAGATAGGGGACAATGGGAAATTTATACTTTCTACTATATTTGTATCTTTATTCTAGAAATTTAATGTGTGTGCATTATTATAATTAGAAAACAATATTTTAGGGGCGCCTGGGTGGCTTAGTCAGTTAAGCGTCTGACTTCACTCACATCATGATCTCACGGTCCGTGGGCTCAAGCCCCGTGTTGGGCTCTGTGCTGACAGCTCAGAGACTGGAGCCTGCTTCAGATTCTCTGTCTCTCTCTCTGCCCTTCACCGTTTGTGTTCTGTCTCTCTCTCTCTCTCTCTCAAAATAAATAAAAATATTTTTTTAAAAAGTATTTTAAAATACAAGAACTCAATACAATAGAATCATACGTAAAAACAGTATCTAAGTAAGAAGCTCAACTACAAGGTGGTGGGATTCTACTATCTCCTGCTTGTTTCTCTTAATTCTAGTAGAAAATTGTTCCATATTTCAAAACACCACATATGAATGATTATATGTGCATGCACTTTCTTTTCAATCAAAAACTATTTTAGTACAATATTCAAACCATTATGCTAGATGTTACAGAGGACATAAAGATAAGAAGAGATAGTTCCTATCCTGAAGAACTTAGAATCTGAAGGGAGAAAATTCTAATAAAATAAAAGGCCAGGTATAGTAAGTATTAAAAAAGGAAACATAAAAATGCTTAAGTATTCAAACTAGGAAAAACTTTGCCTGGTGAGGCAGATCAGTTAAAACGTCACTGAGAAGGGGAGAAATGACAGGAGCCTTGGAGAAAGAAGACTGACAGGTAAGGGACGTTCCTGGGAATGGAGAGGACAGACCTGTGGCAGGCAGAACACGAGCAAACACGGGGAACTCTAAGCGGTCAGGCTGCACGGAAAACAGGGCATGTTTTGGTAAAAACACGAAGTGCGCCTAGGAGAACAGGGAGATTTTTAGAAAAGCAGGCTAGACTTTCAGAGGTCTTAAACGTTGACTGCTGACTCTGGATGTACTCGATGTAGACACTGCAGGACAATGCAGAAGAGCTTTAGGCAGGAAGGAGTATTTTTCCACAGCAAAGTAATAGCTTCCTCAACTTTCACAATCTCCAGTGAAGTGATAAATGCCAAACTGCTATGGGCCCCTTAACTTTCATGTAACATTCATTTTTTCAAAGCTCAGTCAGGAACAAAACCCAATACTTACTGGCTCCGAATATCTGAGTTAAAATACTTTTTTGATGGCTACAGTCAATGTTGTAGGGAGTCTCGCCTGCTTTGTTGGGCCTATAAAGTAACCTTCCATCTTTGGGATTTCTTAAAAGAAGTTCTGCCAGTTTGCGACTCCTCCCACGGATAGCAATATGCAAAGGCGTGTCTCCTTTCTGTAAAATAGGCAGGAAACTTGAACTTTCATGTATTTTCCATGTAACACATACAGAGTAACAATTTTCATGTTTTGTAAAATAATGAAAAATCTGAACTTCTCCTGTTTTTCAGACAGAGTGAATAAATCTGAATTTTTATCTCTACCTTCTCTGTAATTTCTTTCTCTAGCTCCCTACCTAGCTCTTCTTGGGTAGTCTTTCTCCCACAGCCCTGGAGAACGAAGTCATTCTTCTCCCCTCCCCTCAACCCACTGAGAGAGAAGCAACAGGCTCTCTTCGCCGATCCGCTACCAGCCTTCATCCAAACATTTATTCGTCCACAACGTCCTTCACTTTCCTCAACTAATTTCTACCCTATCGCACAACTTTCTTCTGCATTTGTCTGGAAAGCTTCACAGCCTATACTGATACCCCATCTAACACGAGTGATCTCACCTGCTCCCATGCCCTTTGCCAACCAGCCTCCATCATGTTAAGCCCTCAACTCTGTCCTCCAGTTCTCTCCCTTGGAGCCCTACCATACTCTCTGCGCCCTTCTCCGGCCAGTGCAACCTCTCCTGCTCTCCTCCCTACATCAGCCCATCAACCTACCTTCTTCCCGTATTAGAATCTCTAATCACATTTGTACTCACATCCAACACTCATGAAAACGTGTAAAAACAAACAAACAAAACAAAACAAAAACCTTAGGTCCGTGATGTGTTCTCCCACTTTTTACTTCACAAACACCATCTCTTAAAGACGTTGATCCAGTTAACAAATGACATTCTCAGTTCTCGTCAACCCTGATCTCTCTAGAAACACTAAATGAAAATGACCTGCAGTATTCTTCCTATAGCTTCTATGGCACAACCTTGTCTTGATTTTGACTTTCATCTTCTGCTTTGGGTCTCCTTCTTCCATTTCTAGATTCTCTTTCTACATCCTAAACACATGGCACAATAACTATGTTCTGAACTCACTCCATGTAAGTAAGGTACCAGCTGGGCACTTGGGGGGTTGGAAGACAAAATAGTCCCTGATCTTAAACAGCTGACAACATAACAGGAAAAATCAGATAAATATCCAAACTATAAAACTAAGTAGGATGTGACACACTCCGTAAGTAAAGTTTTGACCTCAGGTTTGATCTTTCTTCCCATTGATGACCTTAGTCACACCCATGCAATTCTTATCTCTTGGTAACTAACTGCCAAATTCTGACCACTAGTCTTGATTTCTTGCCCAAATTCTAGTCCTATACTTCCCAATGCCTACTGGTCATGGCGTCCTGAATGTCTTATCGGCCCTCAAACCAAACACATCTGCATCAGATTTCATCATTTTATTTCCCCACCTGAACCCCATTTCTTATCCCCAAATCTGTGAGAAGGTAGAAATATCATTTGTGTCACTTCTGCCAGACACAAGGTTTCTGAAAATTCAGGGAAGACAGGGAAGATATTAACACCTGCAGCCAATGTGCAGAAGAAAAACTGAGATCTCTGATAGGCTAGGTGGAAATAGCATTAGTCTTCATTCTTAGTGTATCTTTATGAAATCCTCTACGAAGAGCCAGGATCAAGACTTTTACAGGTTTGTACTCCAAATTCTAGCACACCACCACCTTACCCATCCTCAGTAAGTGTGTGCTGAATGAGTGAACAACCGCCCCAAGTATCACGTGTGCCTGTCACAAGTGTGTGCTGACTCGAGGCAGGGCACACACAAGGATGTCGAGACCGAGAACTTCAGGAAATCTATTAGTGAGTATGCAACAAATATTTGTAAATGGCATGTTACAGAATTAATGAGGCCATGTGGAATCTTAAAGGGCACTTAATCCAGTGGGTTCCTTATTGTAAATTAGGGAATCAGAGCCAGAAACAAGTAACAGCAGAATGAGAAAAACAGCCAATACAGGAAGTTTTCTATAAACCTAAATATATTCAATTTCAAAATCTCTTCTTTGACTTTCTGTCATTCCTAATTTTCAACATTAAAGTTTCCTTCCTTTTATATGACATTATATAAATGTGGTAATGATGGGTGGGAAGATTTTTTGTTATGTTTTTCCTGAAACAGTGGTGTTTTCTTGATAAAATAAAATACTAATACATATTGATTCTGTGTTTTTTTTGTTTGTTTGTTTAATTGTCTCATGAATAATAGGAAGATAAACTTCAGTCTATTATGGATTAGGAGAGCCCAAATCATATCATACATTTAGATGGAAAAATTTATAATATCTCTTACTTTGTACAGAAATCAATTCACTCGTTTTATGGGAGGGAATCAGTTGAAAGTAGAAAAGAACTCCATTTAAAATGAAAACAAACTCAAACTGGGGATTAATTCTATATAAAGTATTAAGCAATTTCAAGTTAAATTTACTATGGGGGCACTTGATGAGGGCACCTGGGTGGCTCGGTCGGTGAAGCATCCGACTTCAGCTCAGGTCATGAACTTGCGGTTCATGAGTTCAAGCTCCGCATCGGGTGCAGCACTGACAGCTCAGAGCCTGGAGCCTGCTTTGGATTCTCTGTCTCCCTCTTTCTCTGTTCCTTCTCCACTCGCGCGCGCGCTCTCTCTCTCTCTCTCTCTCTCTCTCTCTCAAAAATAAGTAAAGAGTAAAAGGAAACAAACTATGGGGGCGCCTGGATGGCTTAGTCAGTTAAGTGTCCGACTCCTGATTTCAGTTCAGGTCATGATCTCACGGTTTGTGGAATTGAGCCCTGCATCGGGCTCTGTGCTGACAGTGTGGAGCCTGCTTGGGATTCTCTCTCTCCCTCACTCTCTGCCTCTCACTCTCTCAAAATAAATAAATAAACTTTAAAAAACTACCAACATTTCTCTAAAAGAATTATGGTGAGGACGCAGCAGCACCTGTTACCTCCTGTTAGTGGACATAAATGCCAGCCTGCTCTGAGCCTATTTTCTCCAGCCCCTTAAATTCTTTCCTCCTGTTTATCTGCAACCAGGCTCTACATCGGATGACGTCCTCCTCGGATGGTGGTCGGCAGCAGCTCACCAGAACCGGCATGAGCAATGGAAGGAAAATCTGAAGCGGCCTCTTTAACAGCACACTAGGTCTGCCCACTCTGCAGCACGCTATCAGAACAGCCAAGAAGAGATCACGGCACCAAAACCCCAAAGAGATATCCCTAGCAAGTAACCTCTCCCTCCGCAAAATGAAACCAGCCCCCCTCTAAGTCCAGCAACTATTTAGGTCAGGCTAGCAACAGCCTTCCAAAGAGCGTTCTCTGCGCAGATGTCTTACCTTATCCACGGCCGATACTTTAGCTCCTTTATCTAGCAACAGCTCCACTACCTCGATATTTCTCATCTTGGTGGCTTTTATAAGCGGTGTTTCACCATCCTGCAGGCACAGATAAGAAGTTTTGCCAGATTAACAGCGTTACTCCTACGTGTTTAAAGTCATGTAAATGCACATGTAAGAATTCAACTGTCTGACTATGGTACCAGACCATATCGCCAATGCCCTCAAAAAAACATAGCCATAGAAACTAGTAAGAAAACTGCCTTTCACCACCAATCATTTGTATCGAAATCATCTGGTGTCACTCAGAGACATGGGAATGGGAATATGGCCCAGCGACTCGTCAGCCATTTCTGGCGACAGTGCCCTGCCCCTCACTGATGTGGCCGTACCCCAGGCTCCACCACTGACATCTGGGCAGCACCGCCAGAGACTACGTCCCGTTCTCACCATCTTCCCAACTGACCCACAGCTCAGCCAGTGTCCAGGCCCGCCAGTGTCTAGATTTTCCAGAAATCTTTACCAGCGTCACTTCAGATCTCTATGCACCTAAGGACCCGTGTGTAACAGGGATAACAATTTGATACAAACAGCATGCGTCTGGAAAACCTCAAAAAAGTTCATGATTTTTTTCAAAATCAAATTGAGGGAAATAAGAAGAGACCATACATAGCTCAGCGTTGAATTAGGAAAACAGAAGCTTGGTCAGAACCCACATAAGGTCACAGTGGTTGTCACATAGGTCCAAAAAAAAAAGATTATCTAGGAGCCACCCATAAATCAAAAGGTAACCCAGGAAACTTTCTGTCCTAGGGCACTGATGTTACCAAAATCAGGACAGAAAGAGGCTGGTCCCAATCCGCAGCAGATAAAATAGAAGTATAAGGGTAGTAACTCCAAAGTGTGTTTATTCACTAGGAAGGCCTGCCACCTCAATCCAGAATTCCAGATATATTTCCCCATGGAAAACTATTACACATAAAGCCAAATACAGTCGCTAAAGTCTTATCAAGTTTTATATTTTTCACATGATTTAAGTAAAATAGACTAAAGCAACTGGTTTGGGGAACCAAGAACCACCCACGTTGGTCTTTTAAAAGGAAATAAGATCTGCATTCCAAACAAGAGCATAAAAGGATTGAGGAAATGACCTGTCTACAATTTGTGAATAGCTGATATTGTATTTTCTGAAAGTGTTTAATTAAAAAGTAACAAATTACACACTGTATTTTCCTGTGAATACACAACTTCCGAAAGGATATAAAATTACTGCCTAATTTGATATAGACTATTGCCAGTAAAATCAGCATAATTCTAACATCAAACACCGATGACTGAAAAAAATCAGCAAACATTCTGCACTGGGTCTTGATACCTTTGTGCATATTTCAGTGTCAGGATTGCACTGTAAGATATCTCTCACCATCGTCGCATTTCCTTTCTCTACAGCCCAATATAAAGCAGTTTTGTTGTCCTACAAAATAGAAAAAAATCATCACTTCATATAAGATACAATATTGGGAAACTGCTACTTGTAAACATAAAACATCATTTTTAACATTTCTGCCAGAAAGCATTAAGAGATCTTACCAACAAACAGGAAAGAATATCAACCCTTATCTGTTCAGCAGCTAAGAAGTAGTCTTTCACTTGCTCATTTTCTTGAATTTTCTCATCCTATTATTCCACTGTCCTTGCCTGAAATACCAGTCTTCCTTTTCTCTACCTATCTAAATCCAACCCATCTTTCAAATCTTACTCAAATTCTACCTGCTCTCAAAAGCCTTAATGCCCTCTTTCCCCAAGACTCTTACACTTGAACCTTTCATTAAGCAATCAATCATGTACCATCTTCTATCAAAAGGCATCACTTTATATGTTTATGCAAAACACAAAAACATAAACAAAACAAAGTAAAACCTCCCTAAAATATGGTGTTTCTTACAGCCAAGGATTCCACGTTAAGTCCCTCACAGCATTTGGCATAATATTTTATTAGTTTGATTTAAAAATGGAGGGGTGCTTGGGCGGCTCAGTTAAGGGTCTGACTTCGGCTCAGGTCATGATCTCACAGTTTGTGGGTTCAAGCCCCACATTGGGCTCTGTGCTGACAGCTCAGAGCCTGGAGCCTGCCTCGGATTCTGTATTTCCCTCTCTCTCTCTCTGCCTCTCACCCACTCATGCTCTGTCTCTCAAAAATAAATGGTAAAAAAAAAATTTTAATGGATTTGGGGGCACCCAGGTGGCTCAGTTGGTTAAGCATCAGACTCTTGATTTTGGCTCAGATCATGATCTCACGGCTGGAGAGATCAAGCTCCAAGTCAGGCTCTGCGTTGACAGTGTGGAGCCTGCTTGGGATCCCCTCTCTCTCTCTCTCTCTCTCTCTCTCTCTCTCTCTCTCTCTCCCTCCCTCCCTCCCTCCCTCCCTCCCTCCCTCTTTCTCTCTCAAAATAAGTAAATAAATAAACATTTTTTTAATGGATTTGGATACAAGGAAAAACTGAGCAGAAGTGTAGACTGTCCAACAACAAAATGGGTTAAGTACAGATTTTTTTAACCTAAATCTCTTAAAATATTGGCTAAATTCACAACTTTAGGGGAGCTTTTACCTAGCATTAGTAATTTGTAATTTGTAGCTCTGTGAGCTATGGCTTAAGCAAAGTCCACAGGCACTATCAAGTGGTCCTAGGAAAGGCAAACAGAACAGGGAAGGAGAAGAGAAACCGCAAGAATAGAAGAACAACATATGGAGGGAAAAGGCAGAACAGAGGGAAAGTACTAAACAGAATAAATAAATTACATGCATTCAAAGTACCAGCAACTGTTTCGTAAACTACTAATTTCAGGATTGAATATATTTACACATTAATAAAAGAGGCGTGTTTGAAAAATATGAGCTTCTAACATGCTCTAATGTCATCTAATATGACGTTAATGGAGAAATTCTGTAAGAATGGCAGTGAAACTTAATATAGGCATCCATTAAATATCATAGGGTCTAGATGTTTATCTTCATAGAAAAATTAGAAGAATGACATTAGGATCAGTCGACACGTACAACTAATTATGCTCAGAGGTAGCAGCAGAGATAACACACACACACACACACACACACCTGTCCTCTAATGTCGATATCAGCATATTTCTGGAGAAGTGCTCGAACGATTTCTACATGACCACCTCTGACAGCACCAATCAACACGGTATCTCCACTCTGAAAAGACAAAAAAAAAAGGCAAACTGACAAGAACAAATAAACACTGCTTTGAAGTTAAGGTTCATCGTATACTAACAGATATTGCTCTGAAAATTTCTTGGATAAAAGAGTAACTCAAGAGAAAAATTTTAGTTAACTAATATTAACACCTAATATTAAGGGCCCTGAGAGCAAGAGAAGGTTATACCTCAAAATGAGGACTCTGAAATTCCAGGACAAAAGTTGAGAAAGACAAGTCACCCAGAACGATAAGCCATTCTCTTTGAAGAAGACCTCCCATTCTAAGTGTAAATTAAATAAAATGACACCATAGCTGTCAACGAACCAAATGAACACTTAGAAATGACATAATACAAAATTGTTGGAGTAATTCTATGTGACAAAAGTCATGGGTTGTAAAAAAGGGATTTGTAGGGCGAGGGCCATCAGTGGGTCTATAACCGACCACATTTAATTAAGGGAGAGGCCGGTTCCCAGACCAGTATCTACATTCTAGGCAATTTGGCATTACAGGCTAACAGTGCCTAAGACTGACTCATTCCCCACGATGAGGCTTAGATGAAGTTCATTACCTCATAAAGACATCTCTTTGCCCTGAAATTATATTCACCAAGCAACGATCAGTATTAATTATACCCTTCTACTACTTCAAATGTAAAATGGCTATTTTGGCAATGGGCAGAATTTTTTTTTTTTTTTTTTTTTTTTACTCTAAATTACGTATCAGTTGCAGGGATTTGAGTTGGGTGAGTCTATGGGCTGTGGCTCATCTCAATCCTTAGTGGGCCTCAATGGGCTATAAATCAAGATGCAGGTCCTTGAGGATTACAGACTTCAGCGCCCTGTGGAGTAGTATCTTTACAACATTAAAAGCAGAAACAAACCCAAGGCAAACCAACTTTAGGTGAGAATGTTAGCATTAATATGGCTCCAGACTAGTAAATTAATAAAACGTTGTAAATATTTCATTGCTTACTGTGTGCCATGTACTGTTCTAGGTACTGGGAAACAAGACAAACAAGGTCCCAGCTCTAGAAGAACTGACAGGCTACAGGAGACAAACAGACAACAGACAATACACACAAACAAACAAACAATCAGACAAATGCCATGCAAATAAATTAAAATAACAGTGATATGATAGAAAGTGACTGGACAGCTACTTTGGATTGGGTCACTGGAGAAGATCTTTCTGAGGAACTCATAGTTAAGCTGAGGTCGGAATGACAAGGAGGAGACAGCTACACAGTGATCATGATGATCAGCATTCCCAACAGAGCATAGCTGGTGCAGAGGTCCCAGAGCAACAACAAGATCGCGTGTTCAAGAAAGGGAAGAACGTTAATATGCCTGCAACCTATTAAAACAGGGTTGAAGTGTTGCAAAACGAGGACAGAGAGTCAGGCAAGGACAATGTCTTATGGTGTTCACAAACCAAAGAAGTAACATTTATCCTAAGTGCAAGAGAAGCCGTGGATGGCTTTAAATAAAGGAGTACACATGAGATTTGTTGCTTTAGAGGTCACTCTGAGCACAGCATGGAGAATACATTAGAGACAAAAGAGAACCCGGTTAAGGTGCTGTTGCTGTAACAAGGGAAGACGGTGGCTGAGACTCGGGAGGTACTAGGGGAAATGGAAGGAAGCAGACACGTACAGGATGCACTCTGCAGGTAGGACCAAGGGGACTCACTGAAGAATCAGATGTGGCAGGTGAGGAAGAGAAGCCAAGGCTACTGTGGAGAACTTGGGGCTTTAACAACAGGGTGAATGGGGACACCGTTTCCTGAGCTGGAGGCGGGAGGAAAAGCAGGCTTGGGATGAACCAAACAAACAAGTCATCTGCTTTGCCCTAAGTCTTAAAAGCCCAGCAGACATTCAAGCAGAGTTCAAGCAGAGTTGGATATACAAGTGTAGAGTTCTGAGAAGAGGGTAGAGCAAGAGTACAATTTTGAAAATTTTAAGTGAAAAAGGTGGTACCCGAAAACTTGGGGAAGTGAGTAACACCAGCCACGAACAACACGACAGTAATATACATCAAGGACAGTTACCGTACATGTGATATTTTCAGTAACAATATTATTTGACAAAGATTAAAAAGAACACCTTCCACAAAGATTGAATAGTTGTTAACTCCTCAGTTCTAAAGGCCGAAATAAAATTTATCTTAAAACAAATGCATGACATACATGAAGAATCCTGAAAGGTGTGAGAAGCTAAGGTAATCTTCCATCATGTTACCACTAGACGACCAATCTGAAATAGGTAACCTACCCTATCAGGTATGTTCACGTATGTTCCAGCATCGAGCAGATCCTGTACAATCTCCGTATGACCCTCCTTTGATGCAATCATCAAAGCTGTATTTCCATCCTTATCTGTTAAATTTACATTTGGATTTCTTTTCAAAATTTCCTTCACTGACTGAGTGTAGCCTCCTTTTACTGCCACAATCAGTGCAGTCATTGAATTCTAAAACAAAATGAAAACAAGCCCAAGAAATCAGTACATTCTAGAAAACATAACTTATGCAATAATCATAAAACTGGTATTTTCAAAAAGATAGTCTATCATTAACAGTTATTTCTGATAATAAAATGCCAATATAAATAACCAATCACATACCAAAATTGGTCAGGAAGCATATTTTCTGTTTTTGAAGATACATTAATTCTCGAGTCAAGAGGACTGTTATGACATTCAATTCTTCAAATGATAATCTGACATTGGCTTTGCTGACAATGAACAGACCCTCTCACTATATAATGAGATGAGATGGGATGATTCAAAATTAAGCACATTCTAGGGGCGCCTGGGTGGCGCAGTCGGTTAAGCGTCCGACTTCAGCCAGGTCACGATCTCGCGGTCCGTGAGTTCGAGCCCCGCGTCGGGCTCTGGGCTGATGGCTCAGAGCCTGGAGCCTGTTTCCGATTCTGTGTCTCCCTCTCTCTCTGCCCCTCCCCCGTTCATGCTCTGTCTCTCTCTGTCCCAAAAATGAATAAACGTTGAAAAAAAAAAAATTAAAAAAAAAAAAAAAAAAAAAAAAAAAAAAAACAAAATTAAGCACATTCTAAATTAAATAATCCAAAATAAGGTTAATTGGGCTTCAAACAAAGAATTGTTTATAATAAAACCTATATGAAAAACTGAAGTGAAATTCATTGAAGACAATGAACTGATAGCTATAGGATATTTCAATAAAGTGTAATACATTCTCCTTTCACAGTGACCTAGAAACCACATTTTTCAAAAATGGTCTTATTTTTAGTGGTTTTTTTAAAAGCTGCACGTATAGTTTATAACAGTAAATCATCTGATGGAAGAAACTGACCCGTTACCAAAAGTATTAAAATTGTTTCTTGAGAAATTGATCTATATTGAGACATCATGTAATTTCCTTATAGAAATATTTCAGTTATTAGACCAGCCCCTAAAACTAAGTCATAGTTGTTTCACATATTAAAATAGAATAGCCTTTTAAAATTCTTTAAGTCAAAAATCATAGAAATAGCCACTCTTCCACTTGATAAACTGTGCAGAAAAAAGGAGAGTGAAAGGTATGAATTTCACGTAAGAATCACACTCTTTCTTGACACAGCACTGAAAAGATCAGCAAGTAGTAGCATCCGCCAATATGGAAAATAGGAGCAACCGGCTGATATCATGTCAAGAAGTCAAGTGTGATACACAGTTCACTTTTGTTACACTGCAGCCAGAGATTTGGTGGTATGTCTCCTCAGAATACTCCATGATCCATCTCACATAATACTTCATTTTGCAAATAATAGTCTGTATTAATCATTTCTTACGCATAAATATAATTTCCTTTAACTATATTCTCAAAATTTCAAGGGAAAAGAAATTTGTCGGGCCTCTCCAGTATCTCCAGCACATTTGGCACAGGGCTGCATGCACAGCAGGTGCTCAATAAGGAATTAATACCTGCTAGTCGGAATAATGTACTGAACCAGCTTTTAGGTGTTCTAGGTTTTGACCACCAATTTCTGACATTTTTAAATCTACTGGAGAAGGAAAACAAGCCACAGCTCAAAATTATCCAAAAACTTACAATATTATTTTAAATTTTTAAGGAAAAGGTATTTTAACAGAACATAACTTTTTTCCACAATTAATAGTATTTCAAACTATTTGACTTAAAGAGTATTTCAATATGAATTCAATCAAGAGTAAGACTACTGAAAGATGTTCTTTAGAGTTTTAGCCTCCTAAAATTTACATGCATTAGCAATGGTTCCTTAAGGGGCATATATTTATAACATATCATATCTACAATATATTTGTCAAGATAATAGAAAAAAATGCTTGTTTGTCTACATATTATTTAACAACTGTAGGGAAAATTTTCTAGGCATATACTTAGAAAAAATATTCTCTCCCTTCAAACTAAAAACAAACACGAGGGACTAAACAGAAAAGATACTTACAGCTCCTTCTTGATCAACATCAGCTCCCATGGCCAATAAATGTTTTACACATTCTAAATGACCCTTCCGTGCAGCCCAAACCAGAGGAGTAGTTCCATACTAAAATAATAATAATAATAATAATAAATTTAAAATTATTATCAGATCTGTAGTAAAAGAGACAAATTCTCAACATGAATTTTGATAAAAATCATACTTTGAGTATTCTTAAATTACTGTTTATAGAAATTATAATTTTAATCCTAGATAAATCTTATTTTTCCCACTTTCTCTCTCCTGAAGAGATGATTAACCACTTTATGAAATTTCTTTTACCCAACTTTAACTTTCATAATTAGTGACAATTTTTCCATCATAATGTCATACAGCCTCTAATTTTCAACAAGCTTTCAGTGCTTCCTGTATCTTGTGAAATACAATTTAAAGTTCAACAGTATGACTACAGGCAAAAATAGTAACAACCAAATGACAAACGATTCTAAGTACTTCTGAGGCCCAGAGAAGTTTTGGCTTAAAGTCACAAAGCTACTAAGAGGTACAGTAAGACGCAGGACCCAAACAAGCTTGGCTTCAGTCCGTGCTCTAAGCCACCAATCCCAAATCAGCCTCTGAACTTGATAAAATAAACTCTAGCCTAGAAACTGCACTTATTAAAAGCACCTTCTGCTGGAACGTGATTCAAAAGACATCAGAGAATATATATTATTCATAAAAACAATGCTGTATCTTTGGGGAGCCTGCCAATCAAGAGACACATGAATATCCACAGTGATCTTTAACTACATGAGACCAGAGATTAAAATAAACATGTAATAAATGCCTGCTTTCTATAACAGCTCTGTCCAAAACTTTCTGTGCTGATGGAAATGCTCTATAATTCTGCACTGGCCAATACAGTAGCCACTAGTCTCATACGGCTATTGAGCACTTGAAATGTAGCAAATATGACTGAGGAACTTTGTTTTTATATTTTCTGTGTTTAGTACATATATGGGGCACTGCACACAGTAGGTACTAAACATTTTCTCAAAATGTTAGACTGACAGACTAGGTAGCATAATACCTGATTTTGGAGGGGCTTTGAATGCCAGGTCCCATAAAGCATTTTTCAATAGGTCAGAAGGAGAAATTAAAGCTTTCACCATCACATTAAAGTGTCAATCAGAAAACATCAATAGGGGCGCCTGGGTGGCTCAATCGGTTGAGTGTCCAACTTCGGCTCAGGTCATGATCTCGCAGTTTGTGGGTTTGAGCCCCATGTCAGGCTCTGTGCCGATAGCTCAGAGCCTGGAGCCTGCTTCCGATTCTGTCTCCCTCTCTCTCTCTGCCCCTCCCACCCCCCATGTTCTGTCTCTCAAAAATAAATAAGCACACAAGCGGGGTAAGGGGCAGAGAGAGGAGAGGCACAGAATCCAAAGCAGACTCCAGGCTCTGAGCTATCAGTACAGAGCCCAACAAAGGGCTCGAACCCACAAACCATGAGATCATGCCCCAAGCCAAAGTTGGATGCTTAACCGAATGAGCCACCCAGGCAAACCCCAAATACAAGATTTTTAAGTGCCATATTATAAGTATTTGCCATAGTCTCTTTACGGTCCTTGTTAAGCTATAATTTAAGATAATACTTTTTTAAAAATGAGCACAACCTGCATAAAGTGTATAAAATACATCAATCTTAAATTGTACTACTTGACGATTTTTTTTTACATACGTGTGCACCCAAACAAGTACCATCCAGATTAAGAAAAGGACAATTTCTGACATTCCCCTCAGGTTAAGCAATACTATCTGACTTAAATTTATGCTCAAAATGTATTCCAATTATCAAAAATGTCTGATTAATACTATTTTCCTGTATTTCACTGAACTGTTATTAATTTGAAAAGAATACAGTTAGCCACAATGTATCAAGTTCTAATTAAATAAATACTTGTTAAATGTTTGCGATGACGATTAAGGATTTAAAAAATGAACAGAACAAAATTCTGGGAAGCTTTCTGAAGTGGATGGCAAATGAGCAGATGTGAAGGATGAACAGAAAGTAAAGCACAGGAGGAGAAGGCTCCCCACGCTCAAAGGGCACATGCAAAGGCATGGAAGGACCAAGAACACACGAACTGAGGCACCCACATCCTTTGGCCACGTGCAGGCAAGGCAGCTATAGGGCTCAGAAGGCAGAGAGAGGACAAGGCCTATCTTCCCACATCACACCAGGGATCGGTGTCTTTAGCATTTTAAGCATGAGAGAGAGAGAGAGAGAAAACTAAACCTGACTTTTAGAAAAACCACTCTGGCAACAATACAGAAAGCAGACAGAACTGAAGTCACAATAGAAAATTTCAAAAAATGAAAACAGGGAATCATCCCTATTTTCCAGAGAATGATGAATGTGATGTAAAAAAATCAACGGAGGGACACTCAGAAGGTAGTAGTTACAAGGGATCTGCCTGTGACATACCTGACTATATAAAACACATTCATAAACACAATGAGAAGATTCATCAGCGCAATCTCATGCGATCATATAAAGAAACCTATACTCAGACATGCTGCGCGGACATAACGCGGACCGGAACCCGGAAAGGTCTTGCTGACCTACCTTATCCGAGCAGTTAACTTTAGCGCCATTTTGCAGTAGAAGATGCACTATATCCGCATGGCCTCTCCCTGCTGCCCAAATAATGGGGTAAACACTGTACTGCTGGGAGACAGGTAGGTGGGGATGTAAGTAGACAGGAAAAAAGATGAGGAGGGAGCGGGCAAGAGAGAGGAGGAAAGAAAAATCTTTTAGGTGGATATTTACAACACACATGTGCTAAGAAAAGTAAATAACAAAGGGAGTAATACAAAGTAATAACTTAAAAAAATCAAGTTACAGATCATTCTCTACTTAAAAAACAGTCATAAAACATAATCATCAAATAAAATGCACTCAACCTTAAATACATACATATTATGAACATATTTATTTTTACAGATTAATACATTTAATGTGATTTCTAGCCAACAGGCAAGACTAGTAAGAGAAATGTGAAACTATTCTTATATAATCCTTCCATTAACTTGAATAAGTTTCTCTTTTTTTCAGCTTTATTCAGGTATAATTGACAAAATCACAAGATAGTTAAAGAGTACATGATGTGACATACATGTATATAGTACAAAATATAGACAATTTCTCAATCTGCAGTCTGAGACCCAGTCTCAAGTAGAGTAGTGATGCATGTATTACCATTTAAAGAAATGTATAGAAAAATGGTATGGAGATAGATAGATACACACACACACACACACACACACACACACACACACACACACACACATACATACACACACATATATAAACACCCCTTTAAATAAGTTTAGATTAAGAATGCATACCCACAGAAAACAGGTAAGATGACTTAAGGATTTTGAAATCCTAAATTAACATTTAAGCTCTAAGAGCTGCCTTTTTGTTGATAAGAACTGAGCGACAAGCTTAGCTTGAGAAAAAAATTCTCATTGTGCTTTGAAATCACATCCTGCATTATTATCTTTAGTAAGATCTAGATCATTTCCATCGAATATGAAGTCTAAAACGTAACCAGTCTTAAGTGTTCCCTAAGAGAACTTCCCACTTGTGTCACAGTGACATTTTTGCTAATGCTCACCAAACCAGTGACGCTCGGATTGGCGCCATGAGAAAGCAGCAAGTCGACCACTTCGGTGCGGCCTTTGTAACATGCCCACATGAGAGCAGTCCATCCTCCCTAAGGAAAAAAAAGAGGGGAAGCGGGTGGAAAGAAAACTTTTGTGATCACTTCCAAGCACAAAAATGGCATTAATGAAGTGCCTCCTTTGAATATTTTTCTCTAAAACCATTGTTTTACGAAGGCACTACTATGTAGTTTGAAACTCCCAAGCTCCCCGGAGAAATATACAATAGTATCAGAAATAAGTCAAATCTCTTAATTCCAGAAATTATTACTCCAACTTTTGACTCTATCATGGAAACTGAAATAGAGAATATTCATATTGAATTCTTCCACATTTCCAAGTTTTGTTTTGGCTCCTTAAAAATTTTGCTTCAGAACACTTTATATGTCCCTATATATTCTCCTTGTAGGAGCCTAGAGTTTTTCTAGAGAGGAATTCCAGCAATCATATTTGGCTCCTGCATTTAAACACATACTATAGGGGCGCCGGGGTGGCTCAGTCAGTTGAGTGTCTGACTCTTGATTTCAGCTCAGGTCATGATCTCATGGTTCATGAAATCGAGCCCCACATCAGACTCTATGCTGACAGTGTGGAGCCTGCTTGGAATTCTCTCTCTCCCTCTCTCTCTGCTCCTCCTCTGCTCGTGTGCACGCACACACTCACTCTCTCTCTCTCTCTCTCTCTCTCTTTCAGAATAAGTAAATAAAAACTTAACAATAAACACGACCTATAAATCCCAGATCATTACGGCACCTCTTCCTAAAAAAGACAGGACGCTAAGGTAATGATCTGTAGATCATGATATCCAGGGGCGAAGTCATCAAGTATGAATTACCAGGATGATAACTTTCTATTTTCTAAACTACAGGAGCAATTTTCTTTTCTACTGTTTTTTATTTTAAGCAATTTTCTCTTCAGCTAGAACACAACTCAGTAAAAGAGACCAATGTAATCAAATTATACTAAGAAATGAATGTTTTGTCTTTGAACCGGCATTTAAATCCACATTTGGTTTTGAGAATATAAATCACTTAATCCTTCTCTGATTCTCTTTCATCATCACTAAAAAGGAGATTAAAAAAAATACTTGCCCTAATCTAGAAAAGGCACAATTGTAGAAAGGGAAAACAGATCAGCAGTGGCCAGGGGCTGAGGAGGGGGTGGAGGGGAATTATAAAGGGGCAGCATGGGGGTACTGTTAGCGGTGAAACGGCTCTGTTTAAAATGTGGCGGTAGACGTACACATGATGCACTTGTCCAGACCCGTAGAACTGTACAGCACAAGAGGGAATTGTACTGTATGCAAATTTTTCAAAAATCAACCAGAACGTGGAGAGAAAAAATAGAATACAGACTGGGCCAAATGAATCTAACTATATTACAAATGAATCACATAATCACATAACTACTTAGAAGCTAACCGTAGGTAACTTTGGAAAGCAATGTTTTGACTGAATACTGTAATGTTAAAAACAGAAAGAACTATGCACAGACACTGTACTAAGTAGGCAAACCTCTTTCTCTCAGAGTATCGATTAGAAATTCTGTAGCTACTTTAATTTGTATCCTAGAGTTGAACAAATAAGTGAATACATTGTGCAGATAATAGGGCCAGATTTCTCATTATCAGAGAAGGGTTACAAATTAAGGAAAGGGAAAAGTCTATAATGAATTTGGTTGGCAGTATTAACCTGGTCTCTTTAAAAAAAGATACATCCCCCCACACACCCAAATAGATATAGAAATAGATGCATGTATATGCAAGAATTAGCATAAAGACATCTATCTTCTATGTCTATCCATTGAGAAGGACTATAAGCAGTGACACCCCAGTAATAACAAGCATACCTAACACCAAGATATTGGTTTCTCAATACCATTTTCCAATAAAAGAAAACGGGCTTCCATGGAAAACTGATTGATTCCAGAGCTAATAATCAGGAAAATAAGCCAGGAAAAATACAAGATGAACCTGAGCCTGAAGCATCTTGCGATGCCGGAAAATAAGGACAGCACATGTTAAAAGGGTATAGAAGCTTCCATGGCCAAAGTTGGAACAACCTGAGCAGGAAAACAGGTACAGAACCAAATTATAAACTGGAGAACAAAATAAATATTCATCAGGGGCGCCTGGGTTGCTCGGTCGGTTAGGCACGTCCAGCTCTTGATTTCAGCTCAGCTCACGATCTCAGTCTGTGGGTTCCAGCCCCCTTGGGATTCTCTCTCTCGTCTCCTCCCCAGCTTGCGCTCTGTCTCTTTCAAAATAAATAAACACTTAAAAATAAATAAATAAATATTCATCAGACCATATATATCCATAGATAGGTAACTACATACAGATACGGGGGGGGGGGGAGACACGGGCAGGGTGTGCAGGGGAGAGAAACAACTCTTCCTTACGGAAGAATTCCAATTGATCAATGTACAGAGAATGAGGGGAGTAGGAAAATCACCATTATAACACCACATTAATAACTGCTGCATGCAAGATATACTGATAGATGTTAAAACAAATGAGTGAAAGTTTAATCAAAAGCAGTATCTTCTCCAACATATTTAGCAATTACAAAGGGGAAAATAGTAACCTGGCAGACACTACCTTAACCAAGAGACCAAGGTCAACTTCACCAGTGACAAACTCTGCTAGCATGTACCTAGATGCACGGAGAAGGGAATATGGTCTCTATGGTATCCTTCCCCAGCAAAGTATAATCTCAACCTAATCATGAGAAGCATCAGACAAATCTAAATTGAGAGAGATTCTAAAGATGCCACAGGAGTGATCTTCCAAAGTGTCAAGGTCATAAAAGACAAGGAAAGGCTGACAATTTAGCTCAAATTATAGAGCTGAGTATTTAGTCAAGTTTCACATATACCAGTATTTCAATCTTTAAAATGCCTTCCCAGAACTGTTTGAATATCATGCTCTCATTTTAATTTGTATAATGTCACCCTATGCAAGCATCTAGGAGATTAACATTTAATCCTGAGATAACGATACCCAAATTTGCAAATGAAAAGATCAGAACCGAATACCTACAGCAGTAGCTGTAGTTCAGTGCCCACAAAGGTCCTCTCAAGGAAAAACCCTCACTAGATTCCCAGATGTTACACCCCGGAGTTCTTCCTGAACCCCAGCAGCGCCTGGCGGTCGCCCTCCTCTCCTTACACAAGTCCCAAGGACTCTGCCTTCCCTCATGGCTCAGCTGCTGCCACCCACCCGATCCTGTCACATTTCGGTCCCTCGATACTAACTACTCAGGGAGACAAGGTCCTCAGTTTTCCCAACTTTTGGCATTTGAAAGCCAAACGCAAAGACCCTTTAGATATGTTAAAACAAGTTGTGGTGATTACTTAGGGGAAATAAAAAATATGGAGAACTAAAAAAGCTTAAGATAATTTTGTGCAATCTTGCTAAGTTTGACACATTCAATAACATGTACTCTATAGTTCCTCACTCCCTGCTAATAAACAGGGCAGCAGCGATAGAGGAGAAAGCCTTTGGAGTAAGGCAGACCTGGGTTCAAACCTCGGCCTGACTTCTTTGGGCACAGGGCACTTCTTCCAGTTTCAATTTCCTGAACTATATCCATTGAGAACAAAAGGAATTCCCAGCCCATGGGATTGTTCTGAGAAGTCAACTCACCATAGAGAAGCTAACGCGTATAAAGGGACCAGGCACAGAATGGGAACCTAATATTAATCCATGTGATAAACAGGTTTGGTGCCTTTAACAAGATATTGAGAACTAGGAAACCCCATGAGTTTCCCTTCTACTTTATATGTCAGTAAGATGAGAAGACCACACTTTATTCCTGCCTGCCATACCCATTCTCTGCCTGGGTTACTGACATCATGGAATTCTCTCCCTAAACTTTTAAATTTTTTTTTTCAACATTTATTTATTTTTGGGACAGAGAGAGACAGAGCATGAACGGGGGAGGGGCAGAGAGAGGGAGACACAGAATCTGAAACAGGCTCCAGGCTCCGAGCTGTCAGCACAGAGCCCGACGCGGGGCTCGAACTCACGGACCGCGAGATCGTGACCTGAGCTGAAGTCGGCCGCCCAACCGACTGAGCCACCCAGGCGCCCCTCTCTCCCTAAACTTTTAGAGCAATATACTTCAAGTCCTTTTCAGAAATAAGCAGGATAAAAATGGTTCTGTATCTTTATATAAAAATAAGTATCCCACCCACTTCATTAAGTGTGAGAATACAACTAAGCTTATGGAAGTAAACACACCATGTAAATTATCATAGTAAGCGTAAGACAGCAGAATGCTGCGGTTTCTTAAAAACTCAGACCGCCTGCACTTCACATTATTAGCAAAGTAATGCACGTTTTAGACACCACGGCAGATCAATTCCTTCCTCTCTTCCACTACTAAAGCTAACTTTGGAAAAGGCTTAACATTTTGCAGGATAAATAGGCTAGAAATGATCTCTTTCTTCATCTTTATGCTTTAAACAGATGCCAAGATCCAGTAAGAGCTCAGATAATAAAGAATCACATCTTGTTAAACTTGTAATGTGTATAGATGGCATGGCCGAACACAATTACATTTTTAAAATAAATTTATAAATATTATTCTGGAAATTATCACTTTGAACTGAAAATATTTATAAGACTATACTGTCCCTCTTGAAGTTCCTCTTTAAAGGAAACAATTCTTTCACATTTGTTTCAAAACATTGTTACATTGAAAGTCAATGAGTTGTTTTTAATAATATTTTAGAATTTTAAACTCTGAAATAAACCAAGAATAACAATAACTAAGAATACTCTAAAAGAGGTTCATTGTATCACCTGGGCTTTAACACATTCCTGAGAGTCATTTCAGTGCCCAGCCCCAGACCCTAAGAACGTTATTATAATAGCACCTCCTGCACGAGAAGCCAAGGTCCCAGACATGTCTACTACTGGTAATAAGACTCCGGCTAATGAAACGTACCATAGCCCTCACACATACCATGTCGCGGTGCTCCAAGTTGACCCCACATTTCAGCAGTTCCTCCACAATGTGCACGTGCCCTTCCTTTGATGCCGAGATCAGCGCTGTCCAGTTATCCTGGAACACACAGTACAAACATTACCATTTCAAAACCAAAAAACAAAAATCCAAAGTGAGGAAAAATAAGTTCGACTTCACATACCAAATGATCATACCAAATTGACATGATGTGACCCCACTGTGAACTAGTCTAAAACAACACCGCAGCATAAGCTCTGGCAAGAAGTTATCCGTCTGCCTGCATGACCGCAGTGTGTCAAGTGCTCTCACAGCTGCTTGCTCTTGTCACTGGCCTTCTAACCACACTCTGAGGTTTCGTGGAAAAAGGAAAGATGACTATCAAAACTTCACAGCTAATCCTTGTGGCTAGCAACCATTGCTACAAGTTGAAACTAAAGAGCTTGTCATCAGATTTAAGAGCACGTTCACAGGCTATTAAACTAACGCAATCCCACATGATGGATTTAGAAACTATGTGATAAAGAACTACTGTCCTTTGTTTTCAAATAAGGCTACAAGCGCCCAGGTATATGTGCTCCCTGTTCAGCCAGGGCCATCTGGGTATAAAAAACAGGAAGTGCTGAGACCTTTCACCGAAAATAAAAATTCCTCTCCTGTATCCCCCCTCTAACAAGCAGACTTGGGTGGGATAGGAGGCAAAGTTAAGACAGATCTGAAAGCACAACCGTAACCTACTAATTCTGAATCCCTTCTCAAAAACAAAGAGCAAAGTTATGGAAAAGACAAGAACAACAAAGAAGTAGATTATTTTAATATATACCAAATCTTCCAGATTGCAATTAGCTCCATTCTTAATTAATTCTTTCACTATTTCCAAGTTGCCTTGTTCAGCAGCTATCATCAGTGGAGTCTGGCCACACTAGAGAATATAAAAGACACAGAGAGCTTTTCAAGATGCTGTACTTGAACTGAAATGCCACAGTTAAATATACCCTGCGTATCACAATGGTATGTCAAACATTGTTTACAGAATTTCTTAAGTTTACAAACACCTTTGAAATCTTAAGTTTCCAGTTGACTAATAACATAAAAGTCAAAGAGAAAACAAAACGGTTTTTTTTACTACAGCATTAGTAGTCTACTTTGATGCTAAATTTCATTCAAAATAAATAAACATGAGGGGAACCTGGGTGGCTCAGTCAGTTAAGCGTCTGACCTTGGCTCAGATCATGATCCCATGGTTCGTGAGTTCGAGCCCCACAATGGGCTCTGCACTGACAGTGGAGCCTGCTTGGGATTCTTTCTCTCTCTCTCTCTCTCTGTCTCTTTCTCTCTTCCTCTCTCTCTCTCTGCCCCTCACTTGTGCTTTCTCTCTCAAAATAAATAAACTTAAAAAACAAATAAGTCAACATGAATAATACTAGGCTCTGAAAAGTAATCACCACAATGTATATAAAAATCTTCGCATTCGGGGCACATGAGTGGCTCAATTAGTTAAGCATCCAACTTTGGCCTGGGTCATGATCTCACCGTTCCCGAGTTTGAGCCCCGTGTCGGGCTCTGTGCTGACAGCTCAGCACCTGGACCCTATTTCAGATTCTGTGTCTCCCTCTCTTTCTCTGCCTCTCCCTCACTCACGCGGTCTCTCTCTCTCTCTCTCTCTCAAAAATAAACATTTTTTAAAAAACTCTTAGCATATTTATGGTAACCAAATTCTCTAACTATAGCAGATAGAATATGATACAGAATGTGGTTTTAATATATTTAAGATGTTTGTTAAGGGCAAAGGGGAGGAAAGTAAAATAATAAATAAAAACAATCTAGGTGCTATATATATAATATACATAAACAGTTTTTTTAAGACCTCCCTTCTAATCTTAATTCATTAAACTAAAGCTTCTGCTCATTACACCACAGTTGCCCAGCCTGTGTGCCTAGAATAAGACACAGTAATAAGGGACAGTACTTCCTGAGCCCTGAGACAGCGTGGCAGGGCCCGGGCAGCCAGATCCGGGGATGGGTTCGCCTCCAGCAGCAAGACTCACCTACAGCAAGGGCAACGCACACACTGGCACCTTCTGTAAGGGCCACGGTGTGAAACAGGTTAGCGGCTCTGGGCTAACGGTGACGGTACTAAAGGTATTACCACATACTTAAGGTATACGAGAAAAGATTTACACCAAAAATTAAGTTCAAGTAGATAAATATGTATCTAAGCATCTATTTACTATGTGTATATCAGTGGGGGGTGGGGGAATAGCCGTGATTTTTAAAATGCTGATATGACATCGTTTCTCTGCTTAAAATCCTCAGTGGTTTCCTGTTGCTCTTTTGGATCAGAACCAAAATACTGACAGTGGCTGTGGCAGGACTACCTCAAAACCTATTCTGGGCCATTCCCTCCTCACCAACAAACCCGTAAGCTCTTTCCCACCTCTGGACCCTCACACAAAGTTTTCCCTCTGTCCCACCCAATTAACTACCAAGAATAAAGTCGCGGCTGTTTCTAAGTTACTCTCTCTCCACAACTGTAGTTAGAAGATTGGTTAAGCAAGAACTAATAGAATAAACAAATGTTTTGTTATAAGGCCCAGCTTATAAGGTCACATCAGCTCTTGGGTCAAACATCAACCCCTCAGGGAAGCC